ACATTCTGAAACATGTAGTGCAAAAGAGAAGAGTAAGGTGAAAAAAGTGTATGCACTGTAAGATGGTTAGCATAAATCATGGACATGAGTCAGTGCAACAGGACGCTAAAATATAACATTCTGTAATGTATTATCAATTAGTGAGAATAACTGAACGCTCTTTAACAAGCTCTGAATTATACAATCTTTCTCATTAGGATCTCTGGTCCTCAGTCACTTTGAAATAGGACCATCTGACCCTGAAGTAAATGATAAAAGATCTCCCTCTTGCTCTTAAACAAACTTCTTGGCTCCTGAAAATATTGTTTGACACTGGTTTGAGTTTACTGACCTCAATAGATATATTTCCTTTCACAGATGTGCTTAAGGTCATCCAATGTATGGGGATTACTTGGGGGGGGGGGTAAATCTATCCCTGTAACAGGCCCTGGAGGCCCATAGGGTTATGAGACATTGAGGCTCCTACATTATTCTAGATAGTAGGCTCACAGATGGCGATGAGATTGTCAGCCTTATGGCCCAGCCACCCTTTACCCCACAGAAAGATTCCTGGCACTTATTTCTGTTAGAGGCTGAGTCGAGCCCAGGGCCATAGTGCTGCTGGAAGAATTAGGTCAATTTAAAAATCCAATGACCTCATCGGGAATTAAACCTGTGACCTGCCGGCTTGTAGCATGGCTATGCTACCGCATGCCCCTGGATTACATGAATACATTTCGTTTTCTCGATTTACCCCGAGATAAAGATTACAAGGATTTAAATACAGAGACTTTGCAGGCTACAGTCTATGACATATCCATCTTCATACACTTAATGTAAAACATTAATGGAATAATTAGCAGTGTGCTGTTGCACTCTCTTGCGTAGAACTACCATGTGTAATATCTTCTTCCATACTGCTCAAACAAGGGCAAAATTGTGTCACTGACATACCACTCTAAACTGTAGCAGTAATAGCACACCATACACTGATCTTCTGATCATGAAAGAGTACTTGAAAAGTCTGTCTTCGATTCATACTGCTCTAATACCCGCTGTTCTGAGCATTATTACACATTCAGATGGACGAAGCTTCATGAGTAAGATACAGTATGTTGTGTTTTAGGTCAAGGAGACTGTTGCATATTCCCCACAAAAATCAGTTACAAAAATGTGCTCTCTCATACTCAGTGTCTTCAATTGCTTGAACATGACCAATGTTATACAGCAATAGCCTTTTAGTCACGCCCCACATAGTTGTGGTTAAAACCTGTGGCTGCTGACCTAACCATGTCAGGGATTTGTGAGGTGAATGTTCTAATCTGAATCCAATTTTTTCAAGCTTTTCCTATGTTAGCACAGCATTCTGTAGTGTATTCCTTGACTAAGAAAGGCCCAGTTGAACACAATCTCTTCACCAAGTCGAAAATCACCGATGAATCTGGAACTTGAACACCTGGATACTTGACAGTGAATTTTCTTTTATGATTTATTTTTTCACATAAGAATCATACACAATACCCTGCCTGCTCTTCAGGTGTATATTTCACCATTTCAATTCAGTACTGTACATGAGGCCACAAAACAGATGACTTCGTGTCTTAAGGTGAACAGAAACATAAGGAAGCCTGATACATTTTACAGTGAGTCATGTGCAGGTGTGGTCAGTCATGGAGCCATCAATAGCTGCATAGCATTGCAGTTGATGGATCTACCCATCCATCTCTTTCTATAAACACATTCAGCTCTCACTTACTTTTCTCAGTCAGGAAGCAGAAGAAAGTGACCTTAACCTACTTTAGAGTACTGCCTGGAGGAATTCACAGCACTGGCATTAGATCTGAACACAGAGAATAGGCGTTGTCAAGTTATGTGTGTATCTACGTAATTCTTTAGAGCACAAATTTCATTTACACAACATTTAAAAATTCAGTTCCCACCTTACCAGAAACATGCTGCATATTCACTATAAAGAGCAATCGGTTAATGTAGTTTAGAAAAGTAGTCATTTTGTATTCTGATAATTGTGCAAAACATGTATGTATACTATGTTACAGTCACTTAATCATACAATTGGAACAGCATCAGTGATGCAACAATGTGACATTATCAGCTCCTTCAGTAGGACTTTTCTCAGTGTGGTCAGAATCAGACTGTTAGCTCACCAAAATATAATGCCATTATACTTTGCAACACATGCTATGGAATGTAGTTTTGTGCCTATCCTACAGAAATGAGAGAGGTTTAGAGTTCTTTCCTATTATAAATAGTTCACTTCACAACTTCTGTTCTAATCTCTCTGGGAAAGCAACACATGTCACATTCACAATTCTGACTTGAAAATTAAAAAAAAAAAGATGTTTCTGACATATGTGACTAGTCATGTTTTCTTAGGAATATGCCCATAGATAACACATAATACACGATGCATCACTAATGTTGACGAGTGTTTGTACAGTTTTCTCAATTTAGTTACTTGTCATCATTAAATGTGATGCCTTTCTGCCGCAAATCAGCTTTTGCCTGTTGAATTTCCTGAAAACAAAAAAATAAACAACATACAAAACAGTGGGAATCATAACTGTTTAATATGAAAAAAATTTTAAAAGAGAAAATTTTTCTGCTAGTAACTGCATTAACAAAAGCCATATTACAAAACAATGCAATTTACCTGCACATAATATAATAACAGTGACGATGATGCCACTACAAACAACAACATTTTTACTTATGTACTGATTTAACAGCCTTAAGAGCCAATTATAAAGCAAGAAACACACATAAATGAAAGATAAAACATGGCAATTGGTATCATTTAAATGATGATCAAAGATATCCTTAAGAGGTAAGAAAAGAAAACAATCCTATTTCTACATGATGATAATTTCTGACTCAGTTTAATTACACAGGAATCTCTATTTATACATTCGTTGAACACTTTTTCAGTGTTTTATGAAAATCGTTTAATAATAAACATGGATAGTTAGTTATTTAGAGAGGGTGGGTTTCCCCATGCACCACGACCAGTTTGATCTATTGTGCTTCCTCTATGATATTCTACCAGTCTCTATACCCTACCGATAAATGGTGCGTACCATCAGTCCCGCCGAGCAAGTGAGTTCGGCCACTTGCTTAGCGGTGTCTATAATGCTTCCCCCATCTATCAGAGGCCTTAGAGACTATTGTTGGGTGGGAAACGTCCTGGAATTTGGCTCAGTGATCCCCTTTGGGGATATGAGGTTCTTTTACGTGCCGTAAAGTTACGACACGGGACACACAGCTTGAAGTCCCTCCCGGAGGACTTGTTCCCTGAATTTTTCCGCCCTTAAAAATTCGACGACCTCTGCCGGGTATTTGAACCCGCGTACCACGAGTCATGAGGTGGGAACGTTACCTCTAGACTATGGAGGCCGCTATATAAACATGGATAAGTCAAAGGTATTATTTTTTCGGGGAAGTGGATCTATTCCAAGTACCAGACCCCTTTCTTAATATAAATAATAAGGAGGTGGTTTGTTCAGTGGATGTAAAAGTGTCGGGTATTTGCATTACTGAAGATTTATGTTGGGCAACCCACTCCCACTGTGTGTGTCAAAAACTTAGCAAGACTATCTATGTAATAAAACCCCTATGGGACTCAGTGAGCCAAACTGTTTTAAGAAGTGTGTATCTTGCAAAATTTGAGCCCATGTTCAAATACGGTATTATTTTTTGGGGTGGGGTGCAAAATTACTCTGAAACTCTATTTAGACTGCAGAAAAAATGTGTAAGGGTGGTAAAAGGCGTTAAAAATAGTTTCCTGTAGAAATTTGTTTCCTGAATTAAAGATTTTAACTGTTACTTCCTAATATACTTCTGAGATCCTATGTTTCGTAATAAAAAAATAAGATTTATACCACCCAGTATTCTGATGTTCATGGCTATAACACTATTCATAAACACAATTTGTATGTACAATTTTGTAATAGGGTCATTCCATGTGAAGTCATCCAGATAGGTCGCTCACCATTTTTAAAAAAATTCATATTTTGTACACTTATTTCTACATATTTTCAAACTTCAAAAATATTTAACAAAAAATTGTAATCCACTCAGTTCTCAGAGCAAAGTTTGAAAACTACTGGGAAATTCTGGAAACTAGGTACGGGGTTCAACCTATGTGATTATATTCCTCATGTAGGAAACAACAAAGGGTAGAAACCACAGATCAGATACTTCCCCCTCCCATTGGTTTCTGAAGGTGAAAAACAGCGTTTTTCCCAAAATCGATAGGTAAGTTTCAAGCTTAATTACACCAAGAGAAAGTGAGTTGAGTAAAAACTTGTAACAATATGATTTGTACTCTCTGGATGACTTCACATGGAATTACCCAATACTGAGCATAGCAAGAGAGGGGTGATTAGTATGGGAACCAAAATATTTAATGTCCTTCCAACTGAATTAAAGAATGTAATACATTTTAATGTTTTTAAGAGCAGAACTCAAGCTTAGCAAGTATTGTGTGATTTACACAATCAAATGCTTTGGTCAAGTCACAGAACAGGCCTCCACAACAAGTTTATTATTTGTTGCTGTTAGAATGGTATTTATTAAGTCTTAAATGGCTGATTCAGTGGACAATTTAGTTCAAAAACCATGTTGTCCATGTGCCAATATATTATTAACACAAGATGTCAATAAAGATATTGGCCTATAATGAGCTATATCAGTTCTATCACCTTTTTTAAAAATAGGATTTATTTGAGAATATTTCAGTCTTGAGGGGAAGACACCAAGACTCAATATTTTATTACACATGTATGTTAGAGGTGCTAATATGAATGGTAAACTTATTTTGAGGATATATTGCGGAATTTCATCATATCCATGTGAATATTTCCATTTTAATGATTTCACTATGTCGTTTAACTTCTTTATTAGTTACTGTTGACATATATATATATATATATATATATATATATATATCTGGAAAAGGGTGTTTAAACACAGCAGTAAGGAATTTAAGGGCTTCACTCCTGTCTTTAGTTGAACTATTTTTTAACTATGGTAGTGGAGATATAAAATAGTTATTAATGTAACTAGCCATTTTTTGTATATTATTACATAATTTACCTTCTATATTTATGCTTGCTATTGGATTTTTTTTTCAGATTTAGTATTAGTTATAGTTCTGATGACACTCCAAGTAGTTTTTATTTTATTATCGGGATTTAAAATTAATTTATTATAATAACGTTGTTTTGCATTCTTTATAACCTCTGTTAAGATTTTGCAATAATTCTTGTAATATCTTGCTAATTCCAGATCATCCAAATTTCTACTAAGCAAATATAGCTCTCTCTTAAGATTGCAAGACGTTTTATAGCTGTTGCTAGCCAGGGTTGTTTGGTATGAGTGACAGAAACCTTAATATTGCTGTCTATATTTTGAATGCTTTTTGAGGTTCAGAATTGAACTTGAGCTGGTTAAGTGGTACATACATACTAAAAATGAACACAAGTGGAAAAATTATATCAGTTTCTAGCGGTTAACTGGCATGTATTGAGATAGTTGCAAGTCTCATGAAAATAAACACAAATGGAGAAATTATAACAGCTTTAAACACATTTTGTATGAAAGGTGAATGAAAATTTGTAAAAATCAGCCATTCACATTAATGAGTCAGAAGACTTCAAACCAGTGCCAATACAACTGGTAGTAACTCACTGGAAGAGAAAACTAAAACAAGATAAGGTTCTCAAATACAACTGTGAAGGTCACAATGCCACACCATGAACTGTCATGAAAACATCTTTTGTCTCTCAAACAATTTTGAAATTTTTATTGTAAATTTTTCTATAGCTGAACTATTTTATTAATACCTTACCTTCTGTAGCTCTTTGGCTGCTTCTTCACAATTATTGAAAGTATATACCCTCCACAGCACCACTGTGGCTGCGTAAAGCTGCAATGAAATCAGATACAAACGAGACACTATAAGATTTGAGGCTTTCACGGCGGTGACTATGAAGAAAGCAGTCTTCTGGGATTTGGCACCGTGTATATGTTGTGTTAACTGACGTTTCGGAGGAACGTATCGCCTCCATCTTCAGAGTAGAAGGAAAAATATAAGAAATCCGCAAGCGAAGAGACCGTGAGAACCGGTAAAAGCAGACTGCTTCTACCCTGAAGATGGAGACGATACGTTCCTCTGAAACGTCGGTTAACACCATATATACACAGTGCCAAATCCCAGAAGACTGCTTTCTTCAGAGACACTATAAGCTCAAGTACTGTCAGTGTCACAGAAACATTCTCTCTCAGCTTTTGCTTAAGGAGGGAGGGGGGGATAAAAAATCCTAACCACACTCTAGAATTTTGATTTAGTTAGAATTTAGTTTTACAGTACTAATGACCAATCTATTTATTCACATCTGTGAATCAAAAGAGGGAGTCTCTGTCACTGCATGATCGAAGCTAGTGCTTTTTAGAGGGGCCCAAATGAGCAGAAAACTTTTTCCCTTATACCAGATTATGGAAACATCCATTTTCCAAATCATCACATTTGAAAATACTCAAGATGATAGACAGTCTCCAATATAACAGTCATATTTACTGTCAAAGTTCTAACTATAATTCTGCCTTGCTCAGGAGCTTGTTCAAATCAACCACCACAATACTCATAGTATGCAATCTGAATTTAAGAACATGCTGAAGAAAATATTTCTCCATGATAGATGTTATGTGTATTGTTCAAAATTGAAGTTTAATTATGAAGTACATATCAACAATGCATGAAAATAAAACACATCCTCCTGCTTTCAATTGTTACATCTTTGCTCTTGTGGGATTTAACAAAGACTGTTGAGTCACTGTTAAATGCATGGTAGCATGGATGTCATATGGTTACAGTTAAACCAGTCACCATTTCATGGCTTTTACAATTACACAAAATGTTTCGGTGAAGGCAGTGTTTCAGGTAATTCTGTGATATTGGCGAAGTTTTACTGTGATTTAAAAATGGAAAATTAAGGATATAAGTATCACTTGGGTCAATATTTTATGGAACCAAGTGACTATTTCGACGCCCCAACGTACAAAATCCTGGGCATCATTCGAAGCGCAGGATTGCTGAGGGGATAATCAAAAGGGGAAGCACAACAGTTCACTGTAGGTTGCAGTGCAAGGGCCGAGAAGACCCACCCCTTATACAAAGACTGCCAATTCCCAACAGATATCCTTTGGCCTTCCTGTCAGTGGAACCCCCGCCCCCAACCACAGTCCCTGAGAGATTTGGCCATTCCCATAGCAGTAGAAGTACCAGTGAGTAAGTCCTCTATTAGAGGGAGACCTCTCCACAGTAACAGGAGATGATAAAACTGGGACCTCCAATGCAGGGGGTTTCTTTCTTCAGGATGATGGGAGAACTAACCCACCAGTCATTTGTTGGCAGTGTCAGCAGAGCCCTGGCTGGACCTACAACTGAGCTCAGTTCCTCAAGATGACTCTTCCTATTCTTCATTGCTTCTTCTGCTAGATAGTCCAACTTTACTTCTACATGGCTTGCCTCCATTACAAGAAAGCCTGACCATCAGTGGACCCTGATCAAAGCCTCTGAGAGATTTTGGCTGCTCCAGGGTAATCCATTACTCCCCTTCCCAAGAGCTCTCCAGTCAGTCTAACCCCAGGCAGGCCAGCCCACTGCTTCTGGGGACTGTCACAAGGAAGCGGAAGGGGTGACATGGTCCCCTAGAATCTAGTAGAAATTCAGGGTTGAAGAGTAAGCCGTGCATGCAAGCAAGCAGGAGAGTAAGACTTGAATTATCTAGACAATGAAGGCAGTACAATCTCCAAAATGTTGGTAAACTTCTACTAAACTATATGGCATCATATCCAAGAAGACAGGACTTTACATTAAGCCTGGATTTCAATAGTACATGGCAATTGTAATAATTATACATAAATGAAGTATGACTCTTTGTGTAATGTAACTATGAAATGTGTCTTAGCTTTGATGTTACTTCTGCAATTCAGATACTTACTTCCTCTATCATCATCACTGTGTCATAACATCATGGTACTCACCCCAAATATTGTCACAAGAAGAAAAGGCATAGGGATAATGATATACATCCATTCCTCAAAAAGCTGGCCTTGGATCTGCCTTGAGGTTAGGGCACACCATATACCAAGGAAAACACACATACCAAAAAGCCACTCCAGTAATTTTGTCATCTTGCTGAAACCTGATCTAGAGGGAGGAATGAAATGTTGAAACAGTCCATCACTACACTGTATAATGAGTATATGAAGAGTTCTGTACAATGCCTTAAGCTGGTGAAGTGTCAATATATGAATGTCTTATGCCCGGTTTGTGTACAATTATTTTCTTTAAAAAATATTGTAGAACATGATTTTTACCCATTTGAGTACAGTTCACAAAGTAGTTAGGCTCTCCACTTCATGAAGATAAGCTGGGCTTTTGCAGTATTGAACTTTTCACTTGTGGTGCATGCAACCTGAGAATGAAATGATAGTCTTCCTTATATGAAGCATTAAGTTATGGATCTTCATTGATTCCATTCCTTTTGGAGGGGAATTAAGCAATTAAGCCACTAACAGCCTCCATTATCTACTTGGATTTTTATGCTGACCCACCAGAAGCCTTTATGGACAACCTTCAAATAAGGGCCAGGTGCTCACAAGAGCACTCCAATGGTCCCTATTCTCAGCCAGATCAATCCAAACCATACTGTCCCCTCCTCTCTCTCTAACTTTCATTTTAACATTATTCACCCACCTATGTCTTGGTCTTGATACGGGTTTCTTCGCTTATGGCTTTCCCATCAATATCCTATATGCATTCCTCTTCAACCCCATTTGTGCTACATGTCCTGCCCATCTCAGCCCCTTTGACTTTATCATCCTAATTATTCTTCATGAATAGCGCAAATTATGAAGCTCGTCATTATGTAGTTTTCTCCAACCTCCCATTACTTCATCTATCTTCAGTCCAAATATTCTCAACACTTTGGTCTCAAACACCCCCAGTGTGCGTTTCTCCCTTAAAGTCTGAGACCAAGTTTCACAGTCATACAGAACCACGGGCCAAATTATACTTCTGTATAATCTAATGTTTCTGTAAGCTATTTTTGTCATTATTTTGCCCTTCATTCCAGTGATCAGATGGCAACATATACTTAGTATTTATCTGTGTGAGTCTCTACTGTTCTTGTTCTTACTGTTCACTGCAAGCTCGTCAATTTTGTCTTTCAGATATTTCCTCTTTATATTCCTGAAATGCCTGCTGATTTGAAGTCTTATATTGTTCAGCTTATCCTCATTTAACTCGCCTGGAGCCTGTAACCACTGAAATTTGGCTTGTTTCCTTTGGTCTAATAATTTTGAGCATTCTTTATCCAGTCATGGTATATGCTTCTTCAGTTCATAATAACCTAGACTCTCCTTGGCAGTAATTTTGATATTTTCTCTAATAGTTTCCCAAGCTTTGTTAACATCCACTTCAGTGTCCAAGTTTTCCAAAGCCATGAACCTATTTGAGATTTCAACATCATACTGCTCTTTATGCTCTAACTCATTTAATTTCCTGAGATTGAACCTCTCCATATGAACTCTGTGTGTTGTTTGTTTGCTTACTGCCAATCTTTCCCTAACATTTGCCACCACCAAGTAGCGGTCAGTATCACAATTTGATGCCCTGAATGATTGGACATCACGTATACTTGAATGCCATCTCCTACCGATCAAAATATGGTCAATTTGATTATGTATCTTCATATCAGGAGATGTTAAAGTATATTTATGGATGTTACGATGTGGGAACATTGTACTTTTGACAGTAACATTTTTCCATATGACAAAGTTTACTGCAATAACTCCATTATAATTACTAATTTCATGCAAACTCTCATTCCTAATTGTTGGTTTGAAAATGTCTTCCTCCCGACTTTGGCATTGAAATCTCCTAACAAAATTTTCATATGGTACTTTGGGAATTTATCAAATACATCTATCTTCATAGAACCTATCACTAACGAACTCTACTCTCTTAACTGCCGATATAAATCTCTTATGTACGAAAAAACCTGTACCTAATTCATGACACGCATTCCTTTTTCCATCGAAAAATATATATTCGCCTGCTGGTTCGATGCCATCACCTCCTTACTCCCGCTATATCTAACTTATATTTTGAGATTTCTTCCTACACATTTAACAAGCAGGAGAGATCGATGGACCAGACCAGTGGATAATTACATTAAGTACCAGTATTTTCTACTTTTTTCAATTCTAATTCAAACCTACACTTCCCTTAATGGTGCAACACATGGCACAATTCTGAAAGATCTCTTTTTTTAAATACTTATAATTCCAGAACACGGTTCAAGTCTTCCATTCTAATATCAGATGTTATACTGTAAAAACGAAATTAAATAGTTAAAATAATTATATATCGTCACATAAGTAACATCCCTAACCTATTTCTTCCTTCATATGCTAAGCTTGCTGTACGCAGAGGTAACACACAAACAATTACATCACCAGGCCCACAGATCCACTACGTACATGATCTACACGACGTACACGACGTACACATATACATACATACATGTGATCCATGTGATACAGAACATCGCAGGACATGCCCGAGCACCCTGATAACGTTTGCTGGTGCCATCTGTACACCACAGGGAAACGTGCGGGTCACTCTCTGTGCTCTCTGTCCTCTCTGTGCCCTCTGTGCCGTAAGTGCTGCTAACGGAAACAACGGAAAATTCCTCAGTTCTGTGTTTTCCTGCTTAACGGACTGCCTTTCGCGCGCTTTCGCGGTTGTTCGCGGTTGTTCGGCGAGTATGGGATTTGATTTGAAGTATTGAATCAAGAGCTGACGTTAGTGTTTAGGTTACATCCCCATGTTATTTATGTACATGAATGGTATGCTTACTATGCCAAATTAAATTAAACTAGAAATATATATGAAGTGAAAATTTCCTGTTACGGTATTTCTGTAGGTTATGCATCTTTAGTAGTAGCTTAAAGAAGGTCTGTAGAATCTCAATACTCACCGTGTACTGTGATTGTGTTATAATATCTGTATTGTTTCCTGCAGGATAAATGGGAAAAAAGGAATTCTGACCTGCCGCAGGGTGATCGTCATCCAGTAGGCAGACAGGTTTGAAACTCTTAAACTTTCCCAGGGATTGAGCATGGTAAGTCTGATTTAATGCATGATGTAGTGACTTTATTATGTGTTGCTTAATCCAGCGAAGAAATTAAGTTTAGCAAGTGTCTGCATTAAATGTATTAAACGTTACCCCTCAATGTAGTACCAGCTCCATGTTTGTAATACTTAAGATTTTGAGACAATATGTAATACTCTTACAGGGCTATGGTATGCGCAGGAAGAGCTGTGATATTCTGCACTAATGATTCTGCTAGAATGCTGCACTATATATTTTTATGCAGTAGAAAGTGATTTCACTACAGCTGCAGATTCACAGTTCCATGTATCTCAAATTCTGCAGCACAATCACTCCCACAACCTCCTGACCCTTCATTACACACCATTTCAGGTAAGCACTATATACTTCTTTTATGAATGCAGTGGCTAATAATGAGGACTAGTTTTCAAAGTTATTGTCCCCAGAACCCAATTGTAATCATACAAACGTCATTGTCATCATTTATTACTACTGATACTGTATATCAATATATAGGTCATGGATAATTAAAATATGTGTGAAAAGCAGAACATGCTTTCAGTAATATGATTTATGAGAGAATGAGGTGGTAAAGACTTTACTATGAGGAATAAAGTAACTAGTGTAAAAATTTTTTATAGAGGCAGTGTGTTGTCAAGCAATATGTGTTATTTCCCAATGTAAAGAATTATAGTAATCCACCATGTAAGGAAGCAGGCCAATTTCGCATTTTTCTTTTGTTCATTCAGGAGGGTGCTGCAGTGAATACCTGGCAACAGCTCCGTTTATTGAGGAGGTTGACAAACTCTTTGAGAGTTTAAATGGTGGAACACCTGTTGATCCTGGGAAAGCACTGTGTTGCCCACTAAGTGATAGCAGCCCCCAGTATTGAGCACTGGTTATCCCCTTAAGCAGGATAAATATCAGGATTCAGCACAGGTAGGACATTTTGTGTAATTTATTTACCTGTTTTGTTTTTGGTATATTCTGTTTTATTATTATGGGTGTATTCCCTCTTTATTTTTCTCCATATTACCCTGTCCAGTACTGAACTGGTGAACATGAATATAAGATTTCCAATAATCATTGCATTTTCTTAAGATATGTTATTAATTGTGCTAAATGTTCCTGTCCAGTATTGTAATGAAGATGAATATCAGATTTCCACTATTCTATGAAATATTATAAAAGGTTAATTAATTCCATCCAGTGTGACTGATGTCACTGATGTCAAGTCACACTGGGCAGAAATAATTAACCTTTTACAATACTGTTAGTGTGATGGACCAGGATGAAACAAATCAAAATTATGTAAGATATGTAGTTATATTTGCAATTTATTCTTGTTCAGTACTGGAGTGGGAGATGAATATCAGATTTCCAGTATTCTCTAAGATATGTTTATTTATTTACTTATTTATTTATTTTGTCTCTATAGATCATTGTTACATGATATAGGACAAGTCAGTTACTGTATATTGGCTGATTACAGTAAGAGAATAAAGTCACAATAGATTACAATAGTTAAGATTTCAGATAGTGTGAGATGGAATCCGTATTAGGTCCCCTTGGCATGTCGGCTTCCCAATGTCCTATTGTGCCTATACTGGTGATAATGCTTATGGAGAATCTGATGGACTGAAGATTGGCAGGGGAAACCGAAGTACTGGGGAGAAACCTGCCCCAGTGCCACTTTGTCCATCACAAACCCCACTCGACTAGACTGCAGCGGTGGGAAGCCAGCAACTAACCGCTTAAGCTATGGCGCGGCCTTTGAGATAATATTGGTGAATTTGGTGATAGCACTGGTATAACGTTTCACTGTAGACTCTACACTGCAAATCTCATTACATCTGTTCTCCCTTCCTGGTGCAGCTTCTTGGTATCTGCAATCTCTCCAGAGTAGCCCATTCAGGTACATCTCCGACTGTGTTATCTTGGTTGCTGGAAGAAAGAAAGGAAAACTGCGCAGTAGGGATTCCCAAAACCGATTATTCATGAATTATATGATTAAAATTGATTAGTGTTTGTCTCACATGAGAGAAACTCATCCACTATATAAAAACAATGATTGAGTAGGTAAGTTTTCAAAGCGTTTTTGAACTTATATAGTACCGGTATTTCTTTAATATATCGTGGCAGATGATTTAGCAGTCGTAGTCCTACATTGTTAAAGTTGTTATTGCATAGACTTGTATTACATGGGACGATGTGCAAGTCATCTTTTTTCCTTGTGTTGTATCAGTGTAATCCTGAGTTGGTTGTGAAATCGTTTGAATTGGATTTTATGTATATTAGAGTTTCGTATATGTACAAAGATGGTAGAGGTAATATATGTAATGATTTGAAAATTTGTTTACAACTAGTCGCTTTTGGGACCTGGGTCATAGCTCTTATAGCTCTCTTCTGTAATTTAAAGATCAATTTTTCATTTACTGAGTTGCCCCAAAATATCAGTCCTTATGATAACAAAGACTGGAAATGAGCATAATATAACATGCGGGCAGTCTCTAGTCCAGTCACTCTTCTAACTACCCTTAGGCCGAAACGTNGAAGTTGTTCGCTAGCTTTTGCGTATGCATAGTCCATCTTAGGTGCTTATCTAGCCAGACTCCCAGAAATTTTGAGTGATCTATGTAGTTGATAGCTGTGTCATAAATCTTTACTGAAGGGCATTCAAGTTGTAGTTTTTGAGGATGATGGAAGGCCATTGCTACTGTCTTCTCTTTATTAATAGTTAATCGATTCCTCTCAAACCACTCTGTGATTTTGTGTATTGTTTCATTTGTTTTCCTTTGAATTTCGTCGGCGCTATTTCCTGCTATAAAAATGCTAGTATCATAGGCAAAGAACGTAGGTTTCCCATGTTCTGTGCTGGCCTCCAGGTCATTTATGTATAACAGAAACAACACTGTTCCCAGAACGGAACCTTGTGGTATGCCATAGCTGATGGATCTCTTTCGGGATAGGTAATTAATGTTACGATTAGTTTTTTGCATCTGTATGTAATTTCTACTGCTTGTTCTCTGTTTTCTAAGTATGTTTGAAACCACCTTAGTTTAACCCCTCGTATTCCCATTCTTTCCATCTTACTTAGCAATATATCGTGATTTACTAGGTCGAACGCTTTTGAGAAATTAAAAAATATCCCTATACTCATTTCTTTTTCATCTAGTGCTTTGTAAACCCTTTTTATAAATTCTGTGTTTGCTGTATGTGTTGATTACATGATATAGGATATAGGATATGACATTACATGATATAGGACAAGTCAGTTGCTGTACATTGGCTGATTACAATAAGAGAATAAAGTTACAATACTTACAATTGTTTACAATAGATTACAGTAGATTACAATAGTTAAGAGTTTGTATAGTGTGAGGTGGAATCCATATTAGGTCCCCTCCGCACGTCAGCTTCCATATGTCCTATTGTACCTGTCCTGGTGATAATGCTTATGGAGAATTTTATGTTATTAATTTTTCCATATAATCTTCTCCAGTAACGTAATGGAAGATGAATTCAGATTTTCAGTATTCTGTAAGATATTGTGACATGTTGACCCCTACCTCCCCAGCGGTACGTGGCGGTAACGTAACGCTCGCGTTCTTACGGTAATAGGCGAGTT